CTGTATAGGGAAGTGCATTGCAATAAAACTTCTATAAATTTTCATATATCTGAGAAATTTGAAAGAACGTCCCGTTTATCAGCATATTCTTAACTGTACAACTTTTCTAATGGATTAAGATGCGGCTTGAAATGCAGGTTATTGTAAACCTCTGGAACTAAAAGTCAACCAGCAGTGTCTACCATCTGCAATATCAGAGATCGTTTAAAAGACAAGGAACATGGAAAGGTTTGGGGAAACATCTCGCTCATGTGTTAAGTGTAATATTGAAAAGGTCTAATGTGTCAACTTGTGTGGGGTTTATCAAAGGTCAGTTGAATATTGGCGTTTAATGAGATACATAGGAAATTGAGAGTAGGTGGTACTTGAAAGAAAAAAAAGGGTTTGTAAATGACAACAGATCAATTTCGTTCTCGATGGTGCTTCAACAAAGGCAACCAACTGCACTTGTAAAGCAATGTACGCATGTTGACAGCCAACAAATTTAGATGTGGAATACACGACAAATCCATTACTGATTAGAATTTTAGCTCTTTTTCTGGAATCAGGAGTGCAATAGAAATAACTCTATTGTTAAACTGTAAGATATCTAAAACTTTTGTTTTTATCGACTATTCAAAGTATCTTAAGTTTGCTTCAATAGCTGAATGTTTGCCCACGCAAGTGAGATTTCGTCAATGTACCATGGCAGACACAAATCAAAGCCTTCAAAAATGGTACTTGAAACCTTCTATCCTGAGGACTGGTTACCCAATGTTGTATATTTTATAAACATGACCGATGCGAGAATTTTGCCATCATATCGGCGTAAAACGGTATTGTTTCACAATGGTAATTTACATATAAAAAATTATCACATACAATGAAAAATTGTACAAAAGGCTTACAAATAAAAAACACATTTCAATGCAAATTTAGAGTTATATTCAGTAGAGCCAAATTATTAATTAACTGCACCAAACAGCAGCTGTTTCGTCCTACTAAGACTTGTCAGTGATTCTCAAGTCCTAAATTTTGAGTCGATGGAGGCGACTGAATAACCGTGATCGGAAGAAATGTCCAAATATAGATGGGAAGGGTGTACTCGCCCCGTACTTCAATAAATCATATTCTAAATTTGTATTAAAAGGCGCTATTCATTTGTGTGTCATTTGTAGAATATTATACACTCGCTAATTTTCGGCTATATTTTTCATTTCTTCGGAATAACGTCGATTTGAATATTACAGAAAAAATGGACTGCGGTCGACTTAAAATTAAGTCTACATGTCGGTCAATGCAGATATATCCTGTGATTAGATTCAAATGTTTGGATCGCATTATTGTATCTTTTATGTAAACAAGGTAAACACCAACCGGTCAAAACCACAAATCCAAATTCAATAAACCTATGGCAATATGAACAAAAAAGACATTTAAACGGAGACTCCTGAAAAATAATAAAAGGAAAATACAAGGTGACGACGACATCCGCCATACAAATCTTGGTCAAGGTAAGTTAATTGACGTCCGCGATTAGAAGAAAAGTTCAAGCTGTTTTTTATTTATTTTTTTTTTATTCCTATCCAGTAGGTAGCGAGTCTGGATAAGGTAATCAACTTTTGTACACAAGATTGATATCCAATGATAAAACAAGTTTATGTTACATCCTCCTGGACACAACTTACCCCAACCGACATTTTTCAACATAAAACGTCATAGATCATTTTCAACTTGGAACGGAAAAAGGTGCCCGGCGGGAATTTCAATGAATCTTCTTTAAAGATTATCTGAATCTGGAATATGGTATCGCATGCAGCAATTTGAGTCGAAATTTGAAAACCATGTGGAACCTTAAATCTTGCCATAATGGCGTGCCTTTCGCCATTGGATATGTCTTGCGAAAGAATTTTATTAGAATCCGTAATACGAAATTTTGTCTCGAATAAAACAGAAAAGAGAAACCAAATATTCAGAAACTCGAGGGAAGCTGATATAAAACTGGACATTAATCAAAACAGTCTACAGCTATCTCAAAACTTCCTTTACATCTGGTCTTATTCTCCTTGTACTTTTTTAGAGTATCCGTGTAAATTTTGTTTCGTCTGTTCATATTTATATAAGTTTTATGGAATTTGAGTTTGGATCATAACTATGTTGACATGTTGGCATTTTCATGATGTTTTCTTCAAGTTTATCCTATACAAGAAAATGACAGAAAAGCAAAAAAGTACCATGATCATTGTAGTAAGGAACTGTGGCTTTATGTTATAGGCAGATCACATCAAGTCTATAGAACAAATTCTAAAACAGCCAACTAACTATAGATCTTAAAGCAGAAGTATTGAGACCCGTGGATGAAAGGTTGTTTCTTATTTTTTTCAAATCGTAACGATTTTTGTTGCTCACATAGTTTTTTTCAGGACTTTTTCAAAATCACTTTATTCTCCTTTTTAAAGCTGTTTATTTCCTTTGAAAACTTTTGTTTTTAAGCTTCAGATAACATTTCATGGATCATATGTGACACGCGCATGTTTCTCTCATAACGTGAAATAGGATATTTTAACTTGTTTGGTCATAAAGAGATGAAATAAAATATGTTGCTATATCCACGTCACACAGATGTAAATTATTATACAATTTTGTAATTCAATTCTAGCTGTAAAAGTCATGCATAAACGAAAACCTCTATATTCTTTTGGTGTTTAGGAGACGGAAATGAGCTTTACCAATATATACGTAGATACGTTAAGCGATAACAAGTAAACTGAAGAGTACATCCATTGTACAATATGTACTGTCAAATCTAGAAGGAACAATTTAACAACAAGAAGGTACGGCAGTAAATAATGAAAGTAAACATCCACAAAGAGGCGAAACTGCCATAGTTTAGACATTTAAAGCAAACTTAAAGATTGTATAAAAGACACACAAGTGAAATACACCTTTTGATAATTTAGAGTTAGAAACAGTAGAATCAAACAATGAATTAATCTACATTATACAGCTGTTTTGATCTTTTAGGATTCGTCAGTGATGCTTTCGCCTAAATTTTGAAGCCTAGGAGGCGTCTGAGGAAAATCTTAAGTGATCGGAAGAAATCAAATAGATTTAGACGACAGATGTTTTGTCCTTCTAGGGTTCGTCATTGATACTAAGAGTCTAAACTGTGAAGACTAGCAGGTGACTTAGGAAACCCAAAGTGATCGAAAGAGAAGTCAAAATATAGAAGGGGAGGGGCATTAGCCCTATAATTAAACAAATTTGGTAACTTTCATATATCAGATAATTTTAAAACAGTGTCATGTACATGTGCGAAAGGATGTCATAACACCCTATCTAAACTATGTCTACTGGTCACGAAAATCCGAAACATTACTATCTCTTAAATTGTCCATTTACTTTAACGCTATTGAAGTTCTCAAGAATTGATGGATATGAATGCGCATGCGTTGCCATCTTGTTTTTGTTAACTCTATTGCTTTTATGATAAAATAAATTGTTTGCACGCGTTTTACTTATTACGTTGACTATTTCGCAGGGTTCTACATGCATGCAAGCTGACATATACTTAAACATTACGTTAGACGGTTATCAAAAACCGATTGACAGTTGATAAGCCGTTAATATATAAAAATTGAAAGAATTGCAGGAAAGCCTAATAATCATTGACATTTTGATTGGTGAAAAACATTGCTGTTATGATTCACGATAAATGAGCCGGCTTAAGCAAAACTACTCAGATGGCTGATTATGATGGAATCCCACTGTTGATCGTACATTATGTAATGCAATTTCACCAAAAAGATAAAAAATACCGACATCATATAATGCTTTTATCTATCAGACAAACATTTAATTCAACGGCGAAAACAAGGTTGCGTTCGTGGTTTTACGCTCTCGTGACAGAACACGTCGACGGTGTTCATGGATGACGCTTTTATAGCTTTATCATACTGAAATGTCCACACATGAACACGGAAGTATGACACTCCATCCGGTCACATATTATTGACAACGGCTTAACTTGTCTTTGTACATCAGATCTGATTCTGAGCGAATAGGAGATTTGACAGAACCCATCGCCTTCCTTCTTCACTTCATCATACACTCAACTCTGAAGTCAATAATGAAATGGTGCTTAGAAAAATGTCAGGATGAGAAAGTCATTTCAGGTGAATAATACGTACAGAGACGTGATATGCATGACTTTTGAAAACACATGTAATAACAAAAACATACTCGCATCGAAACCAATAGATGACCTTAACCAATGGTCAGTATATTAGTTAGATATTAATTGTACAACATCGAGATGTTTGTCCGTCATTTGACAGCTTTAGACTTAGTAAATATGTCAAATCAAGAGTTTTTTAGTGTCAAGTTTGCTTTGAAATTCCTTTTCACAAACAACTTTTAAACTCTAATCAAGCTTAGTAGTTAGAAATACATGTACACATGATAGAATATCAGTGATTCAGTTCCTTCCTGGTACCAGTCATGCACTTGATAATCATAATCGTTTTTCTTCCTCCGATCAGTCTAGTTGATTAAACGTCTTATTACAGAGGAATATATAGAACTTTTATTCAAATATTACTGGTAAATATTCAGTAATTTTAATTAATATGCGAGAACCTACAATCAACCATGGTTAATGAAAGGTGAAGAGTTTTAATGTTTGGTCATGTATACCAGAAATAGTTAAAATTAATAGTGATGTACAATAATTATAATCAATAGCCGTGTTTCGTATGGATCTCTCCCAATGAGTCTGATGCAGTACCACCTCGCTAATAAAGGACTGTGTTGATACTGGAGGAAGCTTAACTGAGCCGTGCTTCTGCCAATAATATCGTTGCTTGTAGGCAAACGATCTGTGGGCGTAAAAGTAGGGAGCGTTCGGACGGGTTAGCGAACTTATATAAAGGGAAACCATAGATAGTTTTAAGGCAAAGGCCTTTTGAACATCATCCATATTTTCCTTAACTTGGCCGAGGAGCATATTACACTCGACAGTTATGTTAGGTACAGACGTTTACAGATTTTGTTTCATGTTTGCAACGGTATTTGTATGCACATTGCTCCTAACAGCCACAGCACAGTCCGCCGATGATAACCTGTCTTCAGCACTCCAGGTAAGTAAATATATCTGTACCTGATAGCATCTCTTGCTTTATTTTACACTACTTCGAGATTTTCATAGCTTGAAACCGAACTCTTTCATATGATTCTTCCGATATCTATTTGAAAATCATCTGATATTTAAAAAAAAAACATTGCACACATCTAATTTTGTGGAAACTCGAGTCCTGAAAATTTCCGTTGTCATTTAAACTAAGAACAAAATGTATTTTTGTGTAAATAAATCTAAACGCAATATTTATGAAGAAACAAAAAAGTTGAAACATACTTAAAGGTTGGTATATATGTTTTTGGCATAGTATGAACGAGAGTAATTAAGACTTACATTGTTTAAATGTGATTGGAGCACAGAGTTAGAATTACTACAGATTTATAAATAAAATACAGATATTAAAAACTCCAAGAGTGTTACAAATATAATAAAGTTTTACACGAATTTTAAAGAAGAAAAAATCCACATTTATAAAATGCAATTTAAATTCAACTTCAGAAGAACGTCAAGTACATGTGAATATTCCGAACCATGCCACAATTATATCATATATGAGTTTGATTAATCAAGAATATAATCTAGATTTATGGAATTCTGTTTGGCTTCATCTTTTTATATTACATAAAGTTCGTTATTCTTTAATTGAAATAACATATTTCTATAATATTCATTCGAATGATAAATGTCCCTAATTTCGCCTTTTGTTTTTATCACAATGCTGTGTCATGCGCGCGGTATTTTTATATGAAATATTAGATAAGACTATTTGTTTGTTATTGTCACTTGTGTTTATCATATACCTTGATCCAGTTGTAAGATCATCCAATTACGCTACTGCTGACCGAAAATTTCCTAAAAACACTAGCGGAGTGTTGTCATATTCCGATAAAACTAAATGGCAATAATTAAGGAAAATATAAATTTATTGATGAAAGCAAAATCATTATCGTTTCATGTTTTAGATGGTTAGACGTACATCGATGAAACATCCTAGCAGCTTGCCATATATTAAGTTGTTGAAAAGGAACGCGACATAACGGACATAAAGAATGTTTGACTTTGTCAAAGTTAGGTTTCTTTCAAGGAAGTGTGAAATTAATATTTCGCGTATAGAAACAAGTTTTCAAGTTTTGTTAGATAACGAATACAGAACAAGGACGGAGTGTATTATCAAGAATAAAATCATCCTTGAAATACCTTTGAAGTCAATGTCAATGAAAAAACGTGTAACATGGTTGTCAAATGTTTAACACAAAAATGTTTTAAAGCGTGTGTGCATACAGAAATTCTATTTTGGCAATGTGTATTCAGTGTTTGAAATTCCTTTCAGCAAACCAACAGTAAACATCTTAAGATAAAATAGGACGACAAGAAAAATCATGAAGGTTGAAAATTTGTATTTTGTTTAAATGCAGTTTACACATTGACAATATATGTTTTTGATGGCAGTATATGTAATTTATTGAAATACACGTAAAACATTGTTTATGACCGGGGAATATTGATAGAGAGCGCGCCATCAACTACAGCGTGAAATAATAACATGCCTCCAACAAACGAGCCTATCAATGATATGAGAAACATCAGAGTTAAAATATTATTTATGTGACAATCTGTCCTTTGAAAACCTTACTTGCTGGAGAGTATCAGCTGATAGCGAGGGAGTGTCAATTAATGAAAAAATATTTTTTTTACTGAAATAGAAATATAATCGATAGGTAACATTTTGTAAAGTGATTCTTTGACGTCAATCACGTTATATCATTTAAAGTGATGACATAATTAAGCGTAGGTTAAGTAGTAACAAAGTTACGTTGCATCTTTCAAATAATTCTGTTAGGATCACAGAGACTGCTTAAATCACAAGAGTGATGTGAATATCTATTTCCGGACTAGCTATATTACTCTAAAGCTCATCCTTGACGTCTCTGCCATTTAACGTTTCATAATTTATTGACGACCCGGCAGGATTTTCTTATGAATCATATTGGATATGTAGCGACAACTTCAGAGCATAAAGAACCATTTTAATGACTTTGGTATGCCAAAGGGATGAATGATCACCCCTGAGGTCAAAAATGAGAAAAGTCAAAGGAGATATTAGGAAGAAAAAAAATCGTTGGAATATTTCCTTTTAATAATGCAAAAGCCGGATCTAAAAATCATTATGCGTTTCTTAACTCAATATAGTTAAACCCTTGCGTGGGGACATACATGGACTGTTGCCATTAATACTTGTTGCAGCGGAAACGTTCTCTACGTATGTACAAGTCTAACATGATACTTTGCGGAAGGTACTTACTAACTTCAATCTGTCATTAATTGGAAACTCTGGCGGCTTAAGGCTAACATTCTATAGAAAGTCCTTTGACTTGACATAATTATCCATTCAACAAAGTAGAATGATGCGTCGGAGGAACACCTGGCCTTTCTTTCCTCTATCATACAATTCTGTGAATAGCACAACAACGTTTTATAAATACTGTTAGTCCTTGCTGATCATATAAGTATGCATACAATCAATACAAATGTACAATGACAATCTAAAATGACATTTTTCCATATTTATTATACATGCTCAATCCTTCAATATTAGAATATTCTTCACCAAATGAAATGCAGAATGCTGACGATTACATCATAATATTTTATTTCTTGTGGAAAGCTTTACGTGTTTGACGTTCGTGAAAATTTTTGGTGGTACAGTTCTTGTTTATTCTGCTCTTAGTTGATAACGTTACATTCACATGGTGTTTGTCATCGATGAAGCAGAAGACGCTGTCCCTTCCGAAACATCTGGTTGTATTCTCTTTGTGTTTTCTTTATGAGTCTCCATGTAAATATTTCTTTTGCTTTAAATTTGCCACAGTTTCGTCGAATTTGTGTTTGAAATCAGATTCTGCAGACATATCGGTACTGCCTTTTTTGTTTTGAGAACCACATCAATCATTACCAACCATTTCACCAATATACCATACACTTAGTAACTGATAGGACACCACGAACAATTCATGGTAGTTAAATAGTTCTCAGGACACCATTAAATCGACCGCAGGTCGCGAACACGAAGGACTGAGGCATCTGATATGATTTAACGAAACAATGAAAGGATAATGAGTAGACAATGAGATTAAAATAGTAGCAAGACCATTTTAAAGTATCCATTTCAGCTGTCAAGTTTTTTTTTCTTTGTTTTCGTCTGAATTCGGAAGGCTAATGAATCCCTGGAGTGTCCTTGTCATTACTTTCGGACAATTTTTTTAATACATTACCGCATCAAAAGAACATTTTCAAATCCTATTGGTGTTTAATCATTCTATAACTACCATGGCCTTCTTGCATGTCTGTGAAACGGCAGTGAAATACAATGATTTGTGGTTCCCTACAGTGATAATAAAAGCAATATTGTGTAAACGAGGTCCACAATTCACTATCGCAGTACCAGACACGTGAAAATAACATTTTTTTCTGAGAACATGTTCAATTAAAGCATATATTAATTTTTAAAGTAATACTCAAAGATATTGGTTCAATAATATATAATTACCACAAAGGAAATTCGTTTAAAACAATTACGTATTTAATGGCGAGCAAGACGTTGAAAGGCGGTAATGGGTGCAGACAAAAGATGATAGTGGGATTCAGAAGACTATATAGTCGCAATAAAGACGCTTCAGTCTCGTGTTACGTTTCACACTCTAAACTTAAGTGTCTTTTAGTCTCAAATTGTATTTCAATAAGAAAGTTCTCAAAAGGTAAGGAATTGTTGAAATGATGATTTAAATAGACACTCTTTATCTCGATATTTTTCAAGTCATCCATTTCTTATCCATTATTATGGTAGTGTCATTTTGAAAAGTTCCGTGAGATGTACAATGTTACAAGAAAGCAGTTTTATTTTTCTGATGTTTTGTCAAGAACATCAGCTGTCCTATGTCATATAAGCTCTACGTGCTAAACGCCACAGAAATTTCTAAAACACTGGACAATTACGACTACTTTTTCTTAATTCCATTTCCAATTCCAAATTTAGGGCTTAAAAACGGGGTTTGTGAAGTTGCCGCTTGTGACTAAATTTGGCGACAACAAATGTGGTATTTCATGTAGGGGATAGCTAAAGCTAAAAGATTAAAGTCCATTCCCCGTCACATTCCCCCAACAGATTACGATATTTCAGAAGATAACCATTGTTGTATTGGAGAATGACTATTTACGTTCATTAAGGGCATATTCGAACTTATACTCTTATACAGCAGTGCCATATACAGCGAAAGTATGATATATAAAGTCAATACAAATTTAGAATTAGGTACAGTAAAGTCAAATACTGATTCAAACTGCACCAAACAGCTTATTTGCCTTCTAGGATCGATCCATCAATGATGGGGAAGTCCTAATTGTTTAAACCTGGGAGGCATCTGAGTAAAAATGAAACTTTTTCGATAGAAATGTCGGAATCAGTACAAGAGGATGCAGCAACCAAATAATTTAATAAACGCAATTTTCATTTGTCAAGATAATGTCAAGTACATGTGTATATTCCGATCCGTGCAATGTGATCTTCCGGATTTTTTTTATCTATTTATGTACAGACAGTCAAGTTTATTACCATATCATAGACCGGATAATAAACATGAAATAAAATTGCCTCCGTGATCAATGTTTTTGTCGAGAGTTTATGTGCTTTATTTTTATATTTTTATAGTCTACTGACATTTTCATGGGGAAATCATTGAATGCCGTAAGCTGACCTGATTGGTATAATGATAAAGATGGATATTTAACGTTGGTTATTAAGGTATGGACAGAGAGTGCTTGTCTAATCGTTTGAAGTCACGTTGATGTAACTCAACATTTTCCACCTAGGTGCGCGTAGAAAATAATGTTTTACAATGGTGTATTTGCGTATTTGTGTATGGTATTTCACATGTCTGCTGTTTTTAACTGCTTTATAACAAGTGGTAACGATAAACAAATTGTTAGATGACACGTAATGTGACA